AATCCACTTCTCTACTCTTTGCACTAATCCCCTATGCTGCTATGTCTAATTGAAATGTATCCTACGTGGGATCAATAATGGTACATCTTATCATCTTATCTTAATTGTGAAATTTAATTTCTACTGACTTGTGCTGAATTTACAGCTTTGAAATATTTTACACTTTATTTTTAATTAACTTTTCAATTTCCAAAACTTAATGTAAGTCTTCAGAGAAATTCATAAACTGAGTTTTTCTTCTATATTAATTGATTAAATTAATTTAACTACTAGTACACTAAAATAATAAATATATACCGATAACAATATTGATCCAGTTACGTTATCAGTGCTCTTTTTTTCTCTGTATGTAATTGTAAGTGTAAGTTTTTCAAAGCATAATCAATAGACCACAAATAAAGTCAATTGCTTGGTTACTTCATGATATTATCACAATATGAGCCTTTTGCCAGCAGAGGCCGCCAGATGAACCCGACAAGGACTCGCGAGATGAGACAAATCTCACGACCTCAGTCTCTCTTTAATTCTCGCGGGATTTCGTTCTTCCTCCTCTTTCACTCCCTGTAGCCAACATGGCAGTCGGCAAGAATAAGAGGCTGACCAAAGGCGGCAAAAAAGGTGCCAAAAAGAAGATGTAAGTAGCAAATTCACACATTGTTACACGAAACAGGCTTCGCCCTTTTCGATAATCTAACTTTGGTGCGAGAAATGTTGAGGATGAAGCCGATTTTAAGTAGATGTGACGGGGGTCAGTGCTAGTCTCGTCGTCGCCGGCCTCTGTGGCGCTTAATGGGAGTTAAAGCATGCTGTGTCCCCTTTATTCACCGCTGTAGTACTTCGTTATAACTCAGCTAATTTGACTGTTCTTGTACATTTAAACTGCAGTGAATTATCCCTAAAAGGAACCATAACAATCTGTATTATTTAGTCCGCGTATATTCGGCCAGTATCTGCTATTTGCGAGAGGCTACCAACTGGTAGCATGGTTATAGCCGAGCTTACCCATCATCATGGCAGCTACACGCCACAATTAAGTGACCACTGATTAGGATAATGACAGTGTCTGCAAACCAACAATACGAGGGTCTGAATTTTACGGTGAAGGTGTTTATGAAATCGCTGACATTAGTGAATTGAACCGATGGAGGTAAATCCTAGCATGGTACACGCTAGCCCCGCTGTACAGCCGTCTGTATTTGTGCTGGCTCTTGTTTGTTGGGTCATTTTGTGGTTTGTTACTCTTCCCTGCAGTGTCGACCCTTTCTCCAAGAAGGACTGGTATGATGTCAAGGCACCAGCCATGTTCAACATCCGCAATCTTGGCAAGACCTTGGTCACCAGGACTCAGGGAACCAGTAAGTCTACATATATATATGTATGTGTGTGTGTGTGTGCGCATTAACATTAGACTGTAATTACATGCTTACAGTATCAGTGACAGGGTGGGGATGAGTCTGTATTAAATATTAAAGAGTGAGACTCAAATCAATACTTTAAAGTGCTCTTAAAGGATGGTAACATGTTGGGTCTTACATGTGTTAGTTATGCTTGCATGCTCTTGGCGACAATGTTTGCTGATTACTGACAAGAGCTCTAGATATATAGATAGAATCCATTCCTTGTTTCCAGAGATTATCATTACTTCAGGTCCCAGAGGTCCCTCGTTTTCTAACCCATGCTCTTCATTTGCAACCACCCAGGAATCGCCTCTGATGGTCTTAAGGGACGCGTGTTCGAGGTGAGCCTTGCTGACCTGCAGAACGACGAGGTGGCCTTCCGCAAGTTCAAGCTCATCACCGAGGACGTTCAGGGCAAGAACTGCCTCACCAACTTCCACGGCATGGACCTGACCCGCGACAAGATGTGCTCCATGGTCAAGAAATGGCAGGTAATGGATGACGTGGTTTTTAAGAATGATAGTGGTTGTCCTTCTGAACGTTTCACTGTAGCCAGTGTGAGTTTTTGGCAACGATACGAAATCAATACTTGTTTGACCCTTAATCAGTTCCCAAACTCAATACCTAGTGTTTTACAGGTTGACAATCTCTGCAGTAAAATGTTATTGTTAGGTTTACATACCTTAAACACAAAGTAAAGATGAGGACATCTGCAACATTAGCTGGATTTAGGAGCCCTGGTAGTGTACAGGTGAATCTGGGTTGTGACCGGAGGGTCAGTTGTTTGAATCTGTGGAGTGCTTGGAGAAATGTAGCAGGAAAGACTGTTAAAGGTGTTTGACGAACTACTCCCGTGGTAATGGTAGAAAACAGTTTCTGACAAGCTTCTCAATGGAAATTTAAAGATACTGCTAAAAGAGCATTGGTGGTTGATTTGAGGTTGCAGTGAGAAACAACATCCTAGTCAAAATGTCTTCTCTCAAGCTTGTGCTATTCATTCGTATGCAGTCATATTTAGCTATTTTCAGTGTGAGTGGGGAGAATTTAAAACCATATTAAGAATATTTAATGAATGGGTGAAATCACAATGTCTTACCAAAGGTAACAACGTGTAAATCGGGGGTAAGTTGTGTCAGCCTTTTAGGGGAGCTGACTATTGAGTTGGGACTTATTTATCTAATTGGCAAGTGTGGGGTCGACTGTAGGGCAGTAATTCCTCCCTAGCATGTGGCTATTGTCGTCCACACAATGTGTGTTTTGGCCAACAGTGACATTTTGTATACAGATTAGCTGAGTAGCAGCAAACCCCATGAAATATAAATAAAGGTCAAGTTTTTCATGTTGGTTCATTGGAAGATTCAGTATGACGAAAATGAAATGAAAATACAGGCGCTGCCCAGAAACTTGCTCCACTGCTAACTGCCTTTTGCAGGAACGGTGCAGTCAGGAGTTTAAGTGTAAGGATGTAACCTTTCTAATCCTGAAACATGGTTAGGTTGTCTTTTTGTTGTGCTCCATGAACATGGAAGAACAGTAAAGTTAGGTTTGTGTTTTGGTGGATTTCTTTAACCTTAAATAACTTAAACCTACTTGCTTTACAAAGTGTTCTAAAACGGATAACAATTACTGCAATTGAATGATTTTGGTTGCAAAACCTTAATTTTGTCTAATGAAATATGGGCAGATGGTTGTACATTAAATATTAAATGCTCATTGTATGCCAAGTTACTAGTTTAATTAACAAGGCAATTAATAAGTGTATAAACCAAACACCAAGTGAATGAAACTCCAGTGTGGTACAGAGGTGTGAAAATGTATCCCGTGTGAAGAATGAAATGTGGTTAAAAAGCAGGTGCAGGAACTGTGGTCACAGAGTTTAGGTGTTAGATTGCTCTATCACAGATAGAAAGGTGAGAGTTGTCCACTGTTGGGTTGAAATCTTTCCTATAAAGTCTGAACAAGATTGTTTTTTTGTTTTGTTTTTCTCTCCATTCAGACCATGATTGAAGCCCATGTGGATGTGAAGACCACCGACGGCTACCTTCTGCGTCTGTTCTGCGTGGGTTTCACAAAGAAGCGCACCAACCAGATCAGAAAGACCTCCTATGCCCAGCACCAGCAGGTCCGCCAGATCCGCAAGAAGATGATGGAGATCATGACCCGTGAGGTTCAGACCAACGACCTGAAGGAAGTCGTCAACAAGCTGTAAGTCGTAAAGTTTCTCCTGCCCCTGAATGATCGTTTGGTCAAAGTATTTTTGATAAGAAATGAGTCTTGCATCTTGTAATGTCAGAGGTGGTTTCATTTGTAAAAGAGTTGCATTGTAGTTAATGTACATGTAGAGCAGAAGTAATGAAATGAGAAATAAATGTATTAAGTTATTGGTGTTCAGTGAAAAAGGCAAGTTTATGTAGACTTACTGTTTTGTCCGAAGATGAATCGTGATTACCCTTTGCATTGATGTATTGTTTGTGTTTGTGTTCCAGGATCCCTGACAGTGTCGGCAAGGACATCGAGAAGGCCTGCCAGTCCATCTACCCTCTGCACGACGTCTATGTCCGCAAGGTCAAGATGCTTAAGAAGCCCAAGTTTGAGTGTAAGTGATGCACCGCTATAACACTGGCTATACCAGTGTATTTTTTCCCCCCATCATTCTACCGGTGGGAACAAATGATGACAACTGTTTCGGTCCCAGATGATCGCCTGATTACTGCCTAATGAGATCACCTGAAGTTCCCTCACAAGAAAAATGCTATAGAAGTATTTTTGTGGAGAAATGCAACAGGTTTGCAATAGTTGGGCTGCTGTAAAATCTCACATGGGGTTAAGGTGTGAAAGGTCATGTTGCTTACATTTGCCAGTGTCCTCTTAACCTTTTTTATTTATAAGCCTGAGGTAAAAGCTATTTGTGTTCTGTTTCAGTGGGCAAACTGATGGAGCTCCACGGTGAGGGCGGCGCCGGCAGTGCTGCAAAGACAACCGGTGATGACACTGGAGCCAAGGTGGAGAGGGCTGATGGCTATGAGCCCCCCATCCAGGAGACCGTCTAAAACACCCTGACAGATTTAATAAAAAATGTAAATGACCAACAAACTGTACTGTTGTCTGTATGTTTTTATGCATATAATGGGAGTAGTAGAGGCACAACAGAAACTTATGCAAGCAATGACATTAAATCCAATGGCCCTGCAAAAACTGATGCTGTGTTCAATTTTGAGTATATAGTTCCCAAAGTTGTATGTGCATTGTTATGAGGTGTTCATATTTTGTACCAGTGTGGGACCCAATCTATGCTAGGTATTCTAGATCAGTGGTTGTCAAATGGTTGTGGAGAATAAAATAACGTGGCAAATAGTGTGGAATGAGAGATGGGAAGCAGCTCTCAGCAATGTTAACATGGGACTAGAACAAAACTATAGGCTATATAACCTGTTTGTTTTTGTACATGTTTACATGCCCAGATACCTCCAGCAATGGGGCTTCAGTTCTCTTTTCTTTTAGGCCTAAAGGAAGACAATTTGACTAGAGAGTGACAAGTCTAAAAAGTTGAACCACTATTATTTTAGTGGTTTTAGAGTGTCCAGTATAAATGCATGAAACTCATTTTGTGTTACAATAAATATTTTATGAAGCACTTTTTGAAAACATGTTACAAAGTCCACAAGACAAAAGCAAGAGATGAAACAATAGTAAAAAATAACTTCAAACTAAGCAGCGTTGGAGGTTTCCAATGTGTAGTAAATCCAGGAGAAACTGCTGCTTCCAGAAATAAAACAATGTGTAAAAAAAATCGAAGGGGGTGTTAGTGAAGCAGTGCAAAGCCCCACTTGGCTTCTGAAAAGGTAATCCTGATCTGGCAGCAATAATTTTTGTTCTCTGCAGTGGTCTGACCCTTATTTGAACCTAATTCCATTTAAATCAATAAACCAGGGTATGAAGGAAAAGTATCATCAAAAAGGTGTAAGCGTCATATTGTACACAATGTAATGGAGATAAATGAGACAAACCACTAGATGGTGCAAATGTACAGTTGGTGCAGAATCCAGAAAGGCATGTAAATCAGTATCCAGGGTATTCAAATGGTCATGCAGCTTTATTCTAATATTTATTTATTACTGATAAATTAATCAGTGAACACTTAATTTTTTCGCAGCAGGTGAAAAAAGATGATACACGACTTGGAGATGAAATACTGCATTCCTGTTTAAGAGAGTTCACTTCAGACGTTCTACTGTTGAAGAGAAATGTCTTCAAATCTCAGTTCTGGTTATCCAACGGTGTCCCCTCTCTCGTCCTATTGAAAGACACATGACGCTATCCCAGTACTTGAACGTAGTTTTTAGGTACCAGGGCCCGTTTCCCTCTCAGATCCCCCAGGAGCCATTCTTCATCAACGGACTCCAGATTGGTTATAATATCCCCAACCTGAAAGAGAAGAAGAGTGAGAGATTGTCTGAATGTTGGGAGCTTCAGTAGATATTCATGTGGAGAAAAAAAAACTAATCAATCACCATACCTGCAGAGAGAGCTCCTCATCACAGTCTGACGTGAAGTCGAACATAGCCCTGGCTCTGCTGCCACCAGCAGCTACACTCGGCTGGTTATTGGATGACTGCTGGCCTGTTGGAAGAAGTCATTAATGAATAATGATGTTGGTCCATTGTCCAAACTGTCCATTTGTGCCAATTAGAACTGAATCAATTGACAATTATTTGATGATTCAAGCTTCTTAATAGTATTTGGTCCTTTAGTTTTGGTCAAAGTTTCTTTGAAATACTAAACAAAATATCTTGGTCAGGACATACTGGCAATTTGAAGATGTCACTTTGAGTTTTAATACAATTTTAAGATGCCCTTTTATAGACCAAACAGTTCATTGAGAAAGTAATTGGCAGATGAATCGATAGTGAAAATAAAAATAATTGTTGGTTGCAGCCAAACTGTCAGTAACCTTGCTTGCCCCTGTGAGTAGCCCCACTACAACTTCAGTGTTAGAAAGAGAAAAAGTGGTGTCCTTTTTGTTCCACACATCAATTACTTGGAGGAAAGTAAAACCTTAAGTAACAGGTTATTTTCTCTACCAGCCACATGGTAACAGTATAAGACTCTCTCACTGATGCTCCATCTAAATGTTTGTCTATACTGACACCCAGTTCAATGCAACAGATTGGAAGGACATAGCCAGTAACTTTGTCCTGTAAACATACTGATGCTGTGAGAACTTCATACCTGTGCTGCTCTCAACAAAAGTCCTGGGGAACATGCCCTCTCTGCCGTTGAGCCGACCGCAGCTCCACTCAGAGTCGATGTGCTGGGTTATTAGGATGCAGTCGCCCTTTTGAAAGGACAGGTCGCCGTCAGAATTCCCGGCATAGTCATACAGAGCCACCACCCACTCCACACTGGCCGGGGCGGCCTACATTGTAGGCAGAACAACAGGAGAAATTGTTACTGATAAAGACAGAAAATGCCAACAAATGGGCAATATTCACCTCTAACAAAACTTCATCTGTGATTTTTGTTTTCTCAAACGAATTGGATCTGTTGTAGAACCAGCATCATCCTTACTGATGCTTCTGTTTATATAAATATTGGTTACCTGAGCAGGTTTGGCAGCTTTAGGGGGTGTGCTTGGAGAAGCAACCATCCCTGTGGGAAAAAATGAAAGGTTATTTAAATACAAACGCAAATACAAATTCCAGGATCAAGAGGATAACGTGTTGGTGATGTGTAAATATTTAACATTTCAGACACTTGACAAATGTGTAATACAATTCCAACTTACCAGGCAGTGCTATCCTGGTGGACTGTGTCTGCTGCTGACTTGGGGGCGGAGGCAGATCTTCAATGACCTCTACGAAGTTTAGAGGGAAGATACCAGTAGAGGTGCCGATCTGTCCCCGAGCCCAGTCCTGTCCAAAAAACTCCTTCAGCTGGATCACATCCCCCTCAGAGAATGACAGCTCGTCGCTGTGCTCCCCCTCGAAGTCGAACCTCGCCACGCATCTCGGACCTCTTTAGGGGAGGGAACAACATTTCACACATCGGGTTGGTTCATCAGTGTGTTTTGTAAAAGGCTATTGCAAAGGATTTATGATGTATAAACAGTACCTGACTGCTGCAGATGGTGGCTTTGCTTTCCGTTCAGGAAGAGGTTTTGGTGAATTTGACTAATTGGAAAAATGATAATGAAATTGTTTAATTCTGGGAATCCTTAACCACGGTAAACCACAGTCTTTCACCAAAGAGATCATCGATGCTTTGACTTTCAATGGATTTCAGTGGTTGGAACTTACCAGGACTTTGACATAATTGGCAGGAAAGAAACCAGTAGATCCCCTACAGGTGCCTCTGTACCACTCACTGTCCACCTGCTCCACCATGGTCACAACATCTCCTGCTCTCAGGCCCAGCTCTCCTGGACCCTCTGTGTGTGCAAAGCAAACACATCAGCTGTTTATGGCATCATAAACATAACCTGAACATGATCAAAATCTCCAAAACAACACATCATTTGACGGATTTCAGTTACACTGACTTGGATTCTTTTTTTTATGTGTTTTAATATGAATGAATATGCATTAGAAAAGTAGTTTGACATTTTCAGAACACACTAGAGAGATTAGAGAGTGAGAGGAATAATACGAACCTCATATAGTAGTAATAGTGTCATATCTGGTTCGCCTAGCCTACATTTTTGTTTTTAACTTTGTGTATGAATAAACAACAGTATTAGCAGCTTTTTAGTTTTAAAAAAACTGATGTGTCACCTGGAGTGAAGTCATGTATGGCCTGCACCTTAAGCCCATTACCACCTCCACCTGAGCCAGCATCCTGTAGGGAGACAACAAAGACACTTAAAGGTTAATATATCAGAGCCCACTGGGCACAGAAGAGGCAAGGTAGTCTTAAGTATCATAGGATAAGTTACCTGTGGTGGGGACATGTTTGAGACGGGGTCAAGAGGAGTTATGACCTTTATGCGAGACTTGTGGACTCTGCCTCTGGTGTCTCCGACTTGGCACTCAAACGTATTGTGGTCAATCTCCTCCAGCAGCAGAAGCACTTCATTTTTCTATTAGAAAGGCCAACACAGGGTATTCACTTTCACTGGATGAACTCTATAGATTTGTTTTAGAGGGCTTGTGGAATTTTATGTAAAAGGCAAATATGTAAGCCAGTAAAAGTAGACACCTGAAATGACAGTTCTCCTGTGTTACTCCCATTGTAGTCAAAGGCAGCAATCCCATGAGAAAGCTGAAGCTGGTGACAAAAAAGCAAAAATTAAACCCATCAAGTGGTATTTGAAATATGATTACAGCACTTCGTTGTGCAGTGGGATCTCTCTCTCTCTCACAGTGTATTTGTTGTAGAGACGGTGGCCTGGGCAGGGCCTTGGAGGTAAGACAGGTCCTTTCCTGTGGGGCTTCTTTGCCTGGGGTTTTGGTGACGCTTCCCATGATTCTGAATGGGATCGACCCGTGGCCTTAACGCTGGGTGGGGGAGGTCTTCCTGGGCCTATTTTGGCTGGAGGTGGGCGAGGTGGGAGGGTTTTGCTTTTACTCAGCCTCCTGAAGTGCAACAGCATAGAGTATCATTTTTAAATTAATTGTATCTTAATTTTATATTTATTTAATGTATTTAACATTTACTGCTGATTTTTTCCTCCCTCAACTCACCGAGGTGGTAGTGATGGCTCTGGTCCATGCTGGAAAGATTCCTGCAGAAGAATCCAATTGTGCATTTTTACTAACACTAAAACAAACACACAGCCTACAGAATTAGAAAACCATAGAAACCAGGCAACAACCTACAGCTTTCAGCCACAGCTAGCTTCAGCTAAACAGCAGGCCATGTGTTCATGGGACAACAATAGTGTCTTTGTTTGTGGAAAGCAGAGGAAATTAAGCAGGTAAGCCACACAGCTGACCGACAAGATAAACCTGATTTAGAGGGATGTTCTGGGTCCAAAATGCAAGTTTTGAGTAAAGGCGAAAATACAGATTAAAAAACAACATGTGAAGAAAAATCACTCAGGTCTACAAAGAATAACGTTAGTTTTGTGGAAACCTTTAACTCTCCTGGGACATTCAGGAGTTTTTTTTAGGTTTGTGCCCGCTCAGTGTGCTGCAAATCTTACCTGGGAGGGGAGATTGGGTGTCGGGCTTTGTGTGTGGTTCACTAAGGTGTTTAGGTAGCCTACAGGCTTCTGAGTAGGAAGAGGAGGGGGACTGTCCTGAAAGTTATCCGACACTGAGAAGAGATTGTACGATGATGATGAATGTACAAAGAAAGTGTTTTAAAAGTAGAAAAACAGATATAGTATGTAAAATGTCACTAAACTAAAATACAGTGTATTTATAGCATATAAAACATTGCATGTATGTGTGTAATACCAAAAAGCACACATCAAATGTATATATATATATATATATATATATATATATATATATATTAAGTATATTTTGACAGTAAATCACATATAATCAATAATCACGCAAGGTTTACTGTACATAAGAGGGAGATGGACTCACATGAACCAGTTTTGCTGGGGACCCTGATGGTGGTTGGTCTCCGTGTTACACTTTGTCTGGTGAAAGAGCCTCCATTGCTGTCCACATTATGCTGAGGCTTGACCAAGATGTGATCTGAGAGACACAGAGACATTTCACTATAAAGCTGTGTATTTATGATACACTAACCAAATCTGGATGCTCTGGATTGATTAGATTCTGATTGATTCTTTAAAGGAAACGTTTGACATTTTGGGAAATATGCTTATTTGCCGTCTCGCCAAGAGGTGAGAAGATGAATATCATTGTCAGGTCTGTGTGTTACGTATGGCGCTAGAGCCATGCGGCAGTTAGCCTAGCTTAGCATAAAGACTTGAGGCAGGGGGAAACAGCTAGCCTAGCTTTCTTCTAAGTATAAAATATGCCAAGTCTTGGTGCATTCATACAGAGCAATAATTTATCTTATATAATATACAACTTAAAATAAAATGCAACTCACCTGATGGACTGTTCACATAGTCATTCTCTCTGACGATGGAGGCTGAGTTGTGATTGTTTATATTAAGGTTGGGTTTCAGAGGTTCCTTAAAAGGCTTCACTGGAGGTGTTGGGGGAACTGGAGATGTTTCCTCTTCATAGATGCTGTTGGCTCTGGTCAGTACAGAAGGACGTGATCTGTTTGGGATGGGGACCTTGCTGTGTAAAATCTCCAGTTCCTCTCTTACAGATTGTCCCACAGGTTTCTTAGGGGGCTGAGGTTTAGGGGCTGGTGTAGGGTTTGAGGGGATGTTTGTGGATGAGACATTTTGATTGTCATCATATATACTGTGATTAAACTGCGGTTTGAGAGCGACAGAGGGTTTGGCAGAAACTGGAGGTTTAATGGATGGCTTCCTAGGTCGAGGTTCTGGTTTGGCTGGTTCAACCACATTTCCCTCCTCTGTGCTTGCCTGGCTCTCAAAGGCCTGGATCCTGGCCCGGATGTTGCGTTGACTGTGGTTGGGATTCATCTCGCCATCAGCATCTTCACCTTCTAAAGCCTCGTCTGATTGGTTAACAATATCACAGTTCCCCTCACAGTCGTTAACGGCACTAAAAACCTCCAATAACTCCTGTAAATATTTATTAGATGTGACCTCCTCAGGATCAGAGTCAATGTCGTCACAATTTTCACTGAGCTTGACCAAAGTCTGGACTTTGACCTCTTCTGTAATTGCCGGCTTTCTGGATTTTTTACGAGGTAGTGGAACGGGGCGTTCACAGTGTTGTGAGTCTGGAGAAGAGGGAGTAGTTTCAGCAGCAGCAGGGGCAACAAGATATTTTAATGGAATATCCCAGTGTACAGTGACAGATCTGGTGCTTGTGTGAGAGGAATCTGCTTGGTTGGGTTGCTTTACATCTGACTTGGAGTCACTTTGGTCCTCTGTGCTTGTGGATACTATAGTTCCAACCTTTTCGGCAGCTTCAGTGGCCGGTACTCTGTCCACTGGTTTGGGCAGTGATGGCCTTGGTGGTTTTTGTGGTTTTTTACCTGGAAGGAAATGTGATCATCATGAGAGAGCAGAAATAGACTGAAACTTAAAACTGAGAGTTCAGTCCACATTTACTCAACCACCAATGTTTCTTGTATGCCTCACCAGCAGGTCTTTTCTTTGCTGACTGTGGAGCAGCACTACACTGGAGGACAGTGGTGGAGGTGTCTTCCTTCGTAGGGTCAGTCTGTGTGGCGCTTGTGGCGGTGCAGGTGGTCCGGCGGGGGGCTGCAGTGGGCTTGACAATGTGCTCTTCCTGGGTCTTCTCTTGAATCACCTGGTCATAGGATGGTGGGGGCTAAGTCATGAAAAAGAGAGGTGTTCACACACCCACACACGTTATTTTCCCATATATACTATGGCATTTCTGCTTACTGTACCTGCTGAGTATGATAGGATATTTTATTTAGTCTTACAGGATTATAGCTACTATTGCAGATACTGAGGTTATGTCTTCAATTTGTTAAGGCTTTTTTGGGTTGACCAGTATTTTAAGACTTAATATTTAAATTCTACAACTTTTGACTAACCTATTTCATTCCTGGCATTGTGGAGAAATGCTTTGAAATAATATTTAGACCTTTGTGTTGGGAAATAAAATAAAAACTTTCTATTTGGCAAGGGGAACTGTGAAATTCTGGCTACAGCTAAATCGTTGATTGCAAAGAGAAAAAAAGACAGCACAGAACCACAGTCTTGAAGCACATAATCTAGATACCGGCTCATCTGAAGAAACAAGCATTGCTCACTGATGAAAAAACAAACACTTGAAATCAAACACTGTCAATTAGAGGAGGTGTACCTGGGAAACAGCCTGGATGCCTGCAGCCCAGTCTGACTGAGGACGAGGAGAGAAAACCACAGTGTTTCCGGGAAACCAGTTGTTGCTGGCCAGAGGTTCTGCTGAGACGATGGTGATCTCTGGTCGCCTGAAACACAAACCATACATATCTATGACACCAATATAAAACACCAAAATACACATTACAGATGCTTTCTTGCTCTTAATAGGGTTAAAGTAACATTAACTACAGTCATCTATTTCAGTGAGAAGATCAACAAGAAGAAATCATTGATTATAAAGTTCTCTACTTGGTAAATTTTATTTACATTACCTTCTTTCTCTGGTATTTTCACTCTGGGAGTTAGTTTTTGCTGAAGGAAGAAAGATCAAATTAATTAAGACATTTTTGCATTGTTTTTTTACATTTATGAGTGAATCAAGATGTCACATTATTTGAAATCCTAAAAAGGTTACTAATTCTTCCATGTAAATCATGATATATTTCTTCTATCTATAACGCTTAACCCCCTATGTATTGCTTTTACATGATATCACAATGTCAGTGAAGCTCAGTTTTGGCCAACTTACTTCGTTTGATAGCAGCTCGTATAGAAGACAGGGGTCCTTGGCTGAAAAGAGAGAACAGGAAGTCCATTTATCATTAAAGTGTGGGGCTCATACAGACAAGAGCAGGTTCATACCTTTGTGGTGACTCAATTGTTAAAAAGAAATCTCTTTGCTCACCCCTGGGCAACACCATACAGTACTCCCTATCCATGCTGCTACCTAATACTGTTGATGCCAAGTTACACAAAGATAAAATGATTTAATGTAATGTCCAACATTAAACTAAAAAATAGGCAAAAAGGAAAGAGGAAAATGATAATGCATAGGATGATAAAAAAAAAAGGCTAGGAGCTGTACAGAACATTGAAAAACAATGACTTAGATTTTAAAATGTCTACAGTAAGTTACACTACATTCCCACACTACAGTTTAGTATGCAGTTGCTAAAGGGAGAAATGATTGATTACTGAGATGTAAACATACAGTAGGAGTGGCACATGTGAATACACGCAAATGGAGTCATTAGTAGGAAAAGAGCAGTAAAAAACTTAAAGTGGAAATTAATAGTTTAAACATTTTTACAGTAGAAATGTCTTGAATTAAGTTTATGGTTTAATGTATGCAGACAGAGCTCAAAGCTGAAAAAGTCCTAGTTCAGATAGTTATGGATTAATTAAGGGATCAGCAAGAAGGTTTTAGTCACATAAGTATCTGTAGTAGTATAAGTATCTGTTATTCAATGCAAAAATGTAAGAAAACACAGTTTCACACACACAGTATCACCACAGGTTTATATCAAAAACATCCTGCAAATGCTGTTCGTGTGCCCAGGTGAAATCCACCTACCTTACACAAACAATGGTGCCCAGTAAATGCTACCACTTCCAGGTAAATACAGGACTAAATGACAAGCTCTCTCCACATGGGAACAGAAAATGTTTGACACGGTTGGATATCCTCAGGCTGTTCACTTCTCAATCATAAAGATTATTTTCTAATCCTTAATTGTCATCGCATTATACTATTAAGATCTGCTGCTTTTGTGCAAGTGTAGAGATTAACAGCTGTGATATTGTGTCTCTTTACCAAAGCCACAGTAAATTCTCAGTGGAGGCAGGCTCATCATTAACACAGATGCTACTCATTAAGGACTGACTGCAGGAGGGTGATGTAAGCTACCTGGGGGAAAGACCAACAATCCTCGCCCTCCGCTCAATATCACATTATTTAATTCATTAACTAAGCTGTAAACACAGGAATCTTAAGACCAAAAACACTGCATTTATTAAAAAAACAATCCAGCAGCCTGACGTATTCGTCCCCATGCTGACCTTCTGTCAGTCAGTCAGTGAGAATAGATCGGTGCATTGTTTGCTCCATTCACAACTTCACCATCAGCAGATCTCACTGTTAAAGAGATAATGCCCCATTCCCAGTAACAGATACAGTTTGGTGACACTTAAAAATTGTTAGTGGATCCACAACTGTTGGTAGTAATGCAAAGAAATACGAACAAAAACAAAAAGAACTAGAAGGAAAAATGATGTACCTTGAATGTAAATGATCTTGCTTTGTTCTCTCGAGATGATCTGTAGAGGGAAACAGAGTGGTATCGGTTTTAAAAGTAGCAACAAAGATAACATCACTTATCGGCAATGGTTTTATAAAAAACGATTTCACTTACACGTGCAGTTTGTTATTGAAATCTTCTATCGCAGTATGTTTACCTTTTTTTTAGTGCGAGTACTGATATAATGTATATTGTGACTTTATTGACAATCTACTTGAGAAAGTTGAATTACAACCTGACAAATCAAGACAGACACTCACATTGACCTTGCCCACAATGGCCCACTACATACAGAAGTCGCCCACATGGTTCACGTGTTATATTGTCTCATGGCATACATTGTTGTATGTTGCCCATTCCTACTGTTAGGTCCTACTCTCCGTTAGTACCAGGACAGTGACACAGTTTCCATTGTTTTAACTCCACTTACTGTAGGTACATTGGATCTGATATGAGTATATGGTTAAAGTACTGACATTTAACTTTAAGGGTGTTTGAAGGTGTTCACATCCACACTGAGTGAACATTGAAGGACTTGTTACACTTTCAGTATGGTACAATGTCCACTCATTTTAGTGAACTTCAGCAGGATGATCCCAAATATACAGACAAGGCAACCTGATGTCTGCTTGTCTATGGGTTCTAAACTTCAAAAAACGCATTGACTACAAAGGATTGGCAACCAAATATTAAGAATTATGACTCAGAGTCCCACAGATTTGTAGTCAGCCAACTGAAAAACAAAAAAAAAAATCACACCAGACCAAGTGAGGCTGTAGTGATGGTATTGATTTCAAGCAATCAATTCAATGTTTCATTTGTAAAAGGAACGATGTGTCATTTCATCTCTCAAAAGCTACACAGTTTCACTTTGATTCATAGCCATGGTTTCATTTAAAATACCACCTGCTACTACTTACAGACTGGACTTTATGAACGAGAAATACAAGTACCTAACCCTTAACCGTCAGGATAAGCAATCACATCTTGATGAACCAGTTAAGTGTGTTGGTACTTCCGAATCTAAATTGACAAAGAAGCCATGCAGTAACCATGATGCATTATTATTTTACTTTATGAAAATTACTGCATATGTTACTACAAGCCATGCTGTACATCCCCTCTGTATCTTCTATTATGTAATTTACATACAGTAGATAAACGGACTGTAACTGACTACAACAACAAAACAAGTGGGCAGACATTTAGCAACATAACTGGACATCAACAGCATCATAAAACTCAGTAAACAGAAGTCCTAGAAATGGAGTCAGTGGTCGACAGATACTGCGTTGTGTTAACGTGATTCATTGTAACAATAATGCCAGGTGGCCCTAATGATTGGGAATAGGGTCGTTGTATGGCATATACATTATGTTAGCTTAAAGGAAAGTGAGTATTAAAAAAGCAGATTTTATAATGAAGTTCAGTATGTACTCAGGCTAAAGTGAAATGATCTGGTACTTTCCAGACGTTGCTTCAGACACATACAATACCCTTGGTTCCATTATTATTTGGCAGTGACCTGAATTTCCTGTCTTACTCCAACAACAAGTGGTAAAAGGAGCAAAAAGTAGATTTCACATCAAAGTCCATTCAGTTAACAGCTTGATGAAGGAGCAATATCAGTAATGCAAACAATCTAATAAGAGGTAATCTGTTTCCTTATATATGAGAATGTCTTACTACAGGCGGTTGTTGAAGTCATTGTTGATAATGCCTCTAGCCTGAAACCATGACCTCGTTGGCAGACAAATCCACCTGTCACACCTGTTACTTGTTATCTGTGAGTGCCACAGCGCTACTGCCTCAAGTTACACTTTAACAACATGCGAGGGGAGCGCTTCTGTAATTGTACTTATTGAGAAAGACCTTTTAGCTGTTACTTCACACACACACAACTTGCCATTTCCTTGTAAATATGCAGTCGAATATACATCTGACAGAATAATATTACTTTCACTCATGCATGCGAAGTGCTGTTGCCCTCTACAGAATGTGTCTCTTGTGCAATGATGCCCCTACCTGTGAGGAATTCAAGGAATAAATATCAAATCTTCAGCATCAAACAGATATTTCCACCAGGATCCTCCCTCCTGGTCTACCGAGTGAGTGTGACAAGACTTTGAATCTAGCAGTCACACACCCACAGACACCAGAACAGAGAGGGAGGGCCCTACAATATCTCAGCTCTCCTGTGTTTGCTTGGCTGATCTGATGAACTGGAATGCGGTCATTCAGGAAGTGGTGGTTGTGCCACACGACACTGCACCGTCGCTGTCTTTTTCCCACAAAAGTAAAAGGTCACACGGATATTTACATTGTGTCATTTGCACCTGGCATTAATTTGGAAGTATTTCAAACATTAACCATCAACAGCTTTGACTGCACCTCTTCTAAGTCATAAAGTTACACCCTATTTGTTTGGCTGAAAATGTAAGTGCAAACTTTACATATATAGCATCTTTCATCCTGGTCAGTGGAGGCTATTGCACACACAAGTACTATACACGCAAGATGCTGAAGTAAATAAATAATTAAACTGGAAAACAAGTATGAATATACATGACCAATGATAAAAAAACTACAACATATTAAGAAATAAAAATAAAGAAATGGTAATCTACCCTCTGATTCTCTGGGAGGTTGCGGCAAACGCTTGGAGCTCATGAGCTAAATGCTGCTTTACCAATGGTTTTCATTCTGCGCTTTGAAAGAGTTTGAAGGCTCCCAGAGTACCCAAGGAACCCTCCTGGTTCAGATATGTCATCTTTAAAAATAGTTATGTAATTTAAAAATCATTATAAAAACTAATAATCTGTTAAGGGACTTGTAGGTTTAGTATTTCTTCCTATTCTCAGTCATAGAGGAGATGACTCTGCTTTTCTGGGAAACAATATAGTTGACAATTATAATAGTCAAGCCAGCTAGTAATCTCTTTGTATTGCTTTGGGGCGGAGAAGATTTGTGCACTTTGGTGATACACTAGAGACGGTAAATAGCAGATTTGGTAATATTCCAGATATGAGGCTTAGGGTTGAATTTAGAGTCAAAAATAACATTTTAATAGCTCGCTAGTTGGCCGGGGTTAAGTCTTTCTCTCTGGGCCTGTACCAATAAAGCTAGCACTTCCATCGTTATTGTGGTTGAGCTGGAGGAATTACAACACTGGTATATTAATATTTCACAATTACTTTATTTATGTATGAACTGGAAGAAACAATAACATAAAGTTGTGTATTATGCAGCCATGAAAGGAGATTACATCGTCTCAGACAGCAAACTGATATGCTGATTCAAATACAACAGCCGTAGATTTGATCCGGATATAGCCTGTGGGAATACCACAGGTTACAGGTTAGATTTAGGTGAATGTAGGTCAGTTGAGGCAAATTCTACTTTTGACCAATTCTAACTTTTACCCTTGGATTGCTTTCATCTGGTATCAGTGTGTTCGTAAAAATATGAATCAAACATTACAGGACAGTTCATATAGATGAAGCTGAAATTCTTAATGGGTTGTTACATCCATAAAAATATAAAATTACAATAAAATGGCTTGTGACATAGAGTTATCCATGCTATATAGTATCCATGCAAACAAGACTAAGTCTAAAGCCATGCTAGCAGCTCTGTGAGGCTTTATTTAAGCACAGTTTGGTGATGACCGTAGTGATGGTGGTGCAAGACAAAAGGTCGTGGAATCATTAAACTGATCAGTATTCATCCCCTGTGGATTGTGGATATCTGTATTAAATTTCAAAGCAATCCATCCAACAGTTGTTGAGATATTTTAGTCAGATCCAAAGTGGTGAAACAGCAAACTGAACATGCAGCTTATTTGAAAGAACAGCTGTAGTCCCCCCCTTGACTGTGCAAACTGTACTAAACTCACTTAAGAAATTTGAGACAATGGAAATCCCTGCCAGGTAACTTGACAAGCCCCACTGATTGGTTGATTCTATTTCTAATCAGCATATATCCCTTGGTATTTGTGGGCCACTGACACCTGAAAGGACAAACACAAACACACAAGAAACTGCTGAAGTCAGCAGGAAAGGATTCCCTTCACAGCCGCACTCTCACTTGAACACATGCTGACATTACTCAGCACAGCAGCAGCAGTCACAGAGCAGCTGGTGAAACGGATGGCAACAAAGGGAAAGAAAGAAAAACAATCTGCCTCTTAGTGTCGCACTACACCAGACAGAACTTCATAATAGTGAAGCCTGATAAAGAGTTTTGCTTTCGTCTTTCTCCAACTTCGGCTAAAAGGTGGCATTTTCCAACAGGCATGGGCAACTTTGTTGATTCAACTATACGCCATAATGTGTCACATTCAATATGCAGGGACAAACGCAGCATTTTTGTTATTGTTAACAGACGACTGGACTAAATAGATTTGCCCTCACTTGAAAAACAAGACAGGATGTTGTGTCATGAGTGACTAACACAATTAGATTAGATGCTGTCAATGTAGACGAGTGATTCACAGTGGAAACTACCCGAAACAGGTAGATAATGTGGATCCATAATAATACTGTGGGCCAATGCAAACCACTCATGATGTATCACGTTAAAACATTATTCTAAAACGATGGAAAACTGCAAGAACAGACAAGTGCAGCTTGTTCATGACACAGCAGCCTGTCAGAAATTCCCATCCAGACAGCTGGTGGGGTCAGGGTGTGGTTTGGATGGGGGTGGGGGGGCTGAGCTGATAGCTGAGGGCACACAGGGGTTTGCACACCAGGTGTTGCTAAGAAAAACGAGGAACAAAGAAAACTGTTATATTGACAGGGAACCTTCTTATGGACCATAACAGAGGGGTAACTCTAACAGCTGACTGAAAATGAAAGCTAATGTTTAGTCATTAAATCAGAGACATGACGAATCTGTAAGAGAGTCAAAACTAAAATGAACAAGAGAGGAGTTTCCTTTTTAGTTCCAGGTGACACATGTTGCACACATGAGGTGTGAGGACCTAATTTTCTATAACCAATAAGTGGCTGACTGAAAATGTGAATGATGTCACTGTAATAACAGGTTTTCAGCTCTGACACACAAGGCACACAAATGTCACTTACTGAGAAATCCATCATTGCATACTTTAACTGAATGAAAGCAAACTGTATTTTCTATTGAACTTTTTAGTTTACTTCCCCAGCAGGAACCAAAACAACAGCTTCACTGCTTCATACTGTAGAGGAGTTTTGTCTATCATAGCCACTGAAGGAGTACCAGAGGTGTCAAACGTATTTACATGTAAGGATTTTTAAAAAGATTTGAATTATTCTGGTGAGATAATCTGCACTCAGATTGAATTACCACACAACGACGATGTAACTTTGACAATAATAAATGCAGACTTGATGTTCATTGTGATGAATCAACTCAGTTTCAAGAGTTTGCTGATTTATTTTCATTCAGTACATAAATGAATGGAAACAATGGCAGCCTGGAATGGTAGGGGGAAAACAAATACACCCAGATTTATAAAACATAACAGCATGATTTGCTATGTGCTCAGCTGTGGTGTAAAATTTTGCAGTAAATTGACGGAAACAAGCCAAATCAATCATTAAACTCAGTGCCAATCACAATGTCATTCAAGTCTGCCTTACTCTTACTCTTAAAAGTAAAAATGATATGCTCTATTTCGACAAAAAATGATAAACTTAGTACACATTATAAAACCAAGTTAGTTGACTCAGGAAACTATCCAGCTGACCACCAGAGGACTGTCAGCAAACATACCTGCTGTTTGGCTTCTGTTGCCCCGCAGATCTCTGCCCTCTCCCTCCTCCTCATGTCGGGCTTCTTCAGCCATCGAGGTTTAAAACAATATAGAAAAATGTAAAAATTTAAAAAACAAACAAAATACACGAGGGATCCTTTACTAGAAAGGTGGCTAGTTCATTTGTCTACACGGTCGATAAAACGTGTTACTGTCCTCTCCACTGGAGGACTCAGTTCGTCCTGCCCACAGAGGCTCTGCGGAGAGTGGAGGTGGTGCCCCTCACTGTCAGGACACCGACAGGCAGCAACTGTGGGTGGGTATGCAGGTACAGTACTGGGCTAGTTATTAAAACATGTAATGTAAAACTCATGACTCTTTTCAAAAGTAATAGTGTTACTTTAGTTGTTACTCCCTGCCAACAGTAATTAGTTACACTTCTAGTTGTATTACTTTCCCCCCACAAAGTTGGTAATAGTGTTAATTCTCCAAAATCCATACTTGTTTATTAAACTCAAAGTAATGTGAGTATTTCCATGAATACAAAATCTTGTTCAAGGATGTGATTTGATTTTTGGATTTCAGATTAGTGGGAGGAGACAACAAAAACAATGTTGTAACCAATTTTTTTGGTAATATTATTACTGACTCACACTACTAGTTACTGGGGAAAGTAATATTATTACTAGTAATGAGTTACTGCCCAACACTGGTAAGGTAGCAGGATTATCCCATCAACCCGTGGTTGAAACTGAAAACAGAAGAAAATATTCATTTGTTAAGAAGTTTGTGCAAAGAAAATGTTCAAAGGCAGCGGTTTGTCTCCTCAGTACAACCTTTTAATAACCACGAAAGAAGAAACAGCAATACCAACATCATATCTGATGTGGAAAAATAAATAAAACTCATATGGCTTAAATAATATTCACACTTTACACTTTGCCAAAAGTCCCATTGAGATAGCCCCCTCCTCAGAAAACGATGAGGATCATATTCATATTTTAGTTGTTTAGACAAGTGTTTTCTCACCCAGCATTAAGTTATAAATGGTGTTTTAAAGCTTTCTCCAAACTGACAGGAAGAACAGTCTCACAGAACAGTTTGGTGGCCTAAAAGTGTTTACATTTCTGCAAATATTACATCTAAAAAGTAATGGAATCCGCCTAATTATTTCCTACCCTGTTTTAATATGAACTAAACACCAAAGACATGACTTCAGTTTCATTTTTACAGGATCAAATCTGTGAGCGTTTGTTGTGAATTTGGTGTTATGTATTGTAGTCAGTCTCTTCCAGATACTCATTCAGTATTAATATTTCTCTATCAACTTACATGTATTTGTAAAATACATGAAATAACCTGTTGACTCATCTTAAGTGGTGGAGTTAACTAAGTACATTTACTCAAATATTGTATTTTGAGACACTCTCCTATTATGCTACTTTTACTCCATTACATGTCAGAGAGAAATATTGTACTTTCTACTCGACTAACTTATAGATTACTGTAAAGTACCTAGTAGTAGAAATCAGCCCCACCTGCAACAATAAACTAAAGCTAACATGTTACTATTTATAATCCAACAATATAATATACATTATTCTGCATTATGAGTACTTTTACTTTATTAATATTTTGAATGCAGGACGATAACATTTGTATATCTACACTGTGCTGTTGTTAAAAGATATGAGTACTTCTTCCATTAGTTCATTACAACTGTGGAAAAAACTGCAATTCAACTGCTCTTCCACTAGATGTCGCTACAGACGTGCTCATCTTCAAAACCTGGCTAAATAAAGAATAAATGTGTCTTTGATTTGAGTAAATGTGTCTTTGATTTGAGTCAGGTCCAAGGTTTTCAGTTTAGTAATCACCACCATATAATTGTAGATAAATTTCATTCTAATTATTGAAATTGTGACGTTGGGCAAAATGTACTCGTCAATCAAGCAAAAACACAGGTTCTGCCTTCACTGTCATAACTCTACAGTATAATTTCATGCTGGAAATAACAATAATCATGATCCCACTGGAGCTACAGATGGGAACACTGTGTGGATTTAGAGATGCTAAAAACTACATTATAAAGGGATTCATACAGAACCAGGGAATTGAAGAAGAAATGAGAAACAGTTTAAAACTGAATTTCATCTCAACAAAAATAAAATAAGCATCTTAAGTTCATTTTTTTTGTTTCAAATGAGTTTGAAATTGATTCTTTGAAATGAGTATTAATTTGTCCTTTTCCTCGCGTCCTTGTACCTCACCTTTGTGTCCAACAGGAGGCGACATACAAGTCTTTGTCTTTGTCAAGCGATCTCATCTCGGATTTTGGTCGTGTCTTGTTAACGTAACCTATATGATGAGTTTTTATAACTGCCCCCAAAACCAGTAGAAATCAGCTTGTAATGCAGATTTAAGATTGTGCAACTGTCATCTGGATCCTTATAAAATATTGCTTCCATGGAGAAGAGTGGTGCTTTTGGAGACCAAACAAACCCAGGCTGCATGTAAACCTTATCTCTAGGTATACAAATTAAACAGTACTCTAATAATTGGCCCTTATGTAACTTATACAAGCATGGCCACCACTTAAAACTTTCTCAAAGCTCTATTTTACATGAAACGACATGCAACACCCGTGTACGTGGGCCTGCTGAGGCTCAGTGGGAGGAGCGTTCAAATGAGGATTAGTGCGGTTTCACCTATGTGTGTATGTGTATGTGTGTGTGTGTTTGTGTGTGCGCGCTGCGGACCAGGTTAAGTAGCTTGGTTCCACATGTAATACCTCCGCGTATTGCTATGAAAAAAGGAAGGAAGGAAGGCGGGGGGGCATTATGGAGCTGTGACCAAGAGCGACTGTGTTATACCTTCCTGAGAGGACATCAGTGAGTTTGTTTTTGTGGTTAAACCTGCTGATCGACGCCGCTCACACCGCTGTGCGCACTTTCCGTCCAAACCGGAGGATCCGCGTCCGTCCGACGGTAAGAAGGAAGGAGAAAGAAAGAAACTCCAACATATTCTCGCGTTTACAGCTGTTCGCTTTAACGTGTCTGTTTCAAATATAACGTGGCAGTGAGGTTTTTCTGGCGTTTGTTGGAGCATGTGTGTGTTTTTGCTTTCTGTGACAGTTGTCTGTGATTGACATGTGCGGGTGGGTGGTGGAAGGGTTGGGTATCTCCAAAGTGGGGAAAACCAGAGATGGTTTCTGGGTTTACTGGGAACTCCCAATGAAAACAATACTAGTTTTTTCAATCTTGTAAAGTTAAAGAAGTGAAAAACTCAACTGCGTGATTACTTTCCTGCTGTGTTGTGTCCTCACCATAGAGACAAAGCAGACCCACCCTTTATCTAAGCATAGGTCGCTGTTTTGCAACCTCAACCAATACACCAGTCACTGCTTAATAACATGTTTTCAAATGTATCTGGTTTCATAATATTGCAGTAACTTGCAGTGCTGACAGCGTCATTCCTTAAAACATGTTATATCCACGTGCTGTTGTTGATAGCTCCTGGCAAAGTTATTGCACAGCCCCCCCCCCACACACACACACACAGGAGAAGTCTGAGCAGCCTTCAACTTCACAAACTGATACTTGTCTGTCTATTCATATTGGATACACACATCTGCCTGGGACGTTATTAAAGATTGTTGACTGAGCTCTTGGATTGCAGCAGTTTTTCTGACAGAAATCCTAGAACTATGGTCCAAGACCCCTTTTCCACCAGTGAGTAAACTAGTGACCGTCTGAGTAAGTGACATATTTTATGGATATTTCATATTATATTCAATGCATAACAATAAGAGTACAGAACAGCTGATAAACTGCACAATGAACCCAAACAGTGAACACAATAACTGCAGAAAGTTTCTGTAAAACCAGTCATATCTGTGAATTTTGCACCAGAGATTATTTTTTCTGACATTTTAGGAACTTTTTTATACACGTCTCTATCTGCATTATTTATTTATTTTTTTTAGGCCTTTTATTGACTTTATTAGATAGTGGCAGCTGTAGATTGACAGGAAAGGTGGGTAGAGAGAGGGGATGACACGCAGTGAAGCAAAGGGCTGTAGATCGGATTCAAACCCGGGCCGCTGCAGCAACTCCGTACATGGGTCGCCAGCTCTACCGACTGAGCTAACCAGGCGCCCTGCATTATTTATTTTTATACATTTATTATTTATAATACCCCTTATTGGGGTCCCGAAGAACCCCTTACCTAGACCTAGTGTGTACACTAGCATCTCTACAGTTTCTCTATAGATTTCACACTCTCCCTGATTCACCTTCCAGGCCCTGCTTTGCCCTAATGAGCTTTGAACTCAGACGTCCATTGTGGTGGAGACAGAATGCCGGCGGTGCTGAGTTACCAGAAAACATCATCAATGTTTCATGGCTCACCATCTTGTCAGAGTGTCATTCCTTCACAGGTGTTGTCTTCCACCTGCTAAATCAATGTTGTTCCCAGTCAGCTGATGTAAACTGAACTGAGCTGAACTGAGGCTAGTTTTTTGGGGAGAAAAGAGGTCAAACAGGAATGACTAAAACTGTTATTCAGGTTGTCGCTCTCTCTCTCTCTGTGTGGGGGGAATAGTTGGAGGATCCTCTGTCTGATTTATTACTCACCTCCAGGGAGGTTATTTTTACACCTTGTTTGTGTGTTTGTCTGTTGGTAAGGTAACTGGATGTAAACTTGTTAACAGATGCTGATAAGACTTTTTAGGGCTGCAACTAACAATTAAACCAGAGAATTTTTTTCATTTTTGCCTGTAAAAACAATCAATAGATTATCAAAAAAGTTTAATAGTTTCAGTTCTATGCATTTGGTTGATCAGACTTTTTAAGAATCACATCAGGAACATTTTAAACATTTTTCTCTTGAACTGTTGAACTTGTGTGACCTTGTATGGACATTTGGTCATGGTCACTTTCACCCCACCCCACATGCGTTATCAAGTGACTAAATTCTCTGACTTAGGTCATGTGATAACAGTTTAACCATTTCCTTTTTGGTCAAACTGTTCTTTTATTATGAGAACAAGTGTTGTCCACAAATGTCTGTGTGTCATCATCAACTGTGGCTGCTGTGGCTGAGGAAAATGCTCTCCATTTGGAAGCTCTTTAAATCCCACCAGCACAGCACCAGTAGCTCTTTTCTGCAGACTGACTGTGAGCTGGGGTGGTCTTAGTGGAAGGTGTGTGTGTGTGTG